CCCCCCGGGGGGGCGGGGAGCCCCTGGTGCTGCCCCCACAGCTGGGGCAGCCCTGGAGCCACGCTGGGCAGCACTCACTCCATCTTGGCCTCCAGGTGATGGACTGTCTGCTTGTCCAGGTAGCGGCAGAAGAGCGAGAGGAGGTTGCTGGGCAAGGAGAGAGGCTCCACCAGCAAGGCCTTGGGCACTTGAGACAGCTCCCGGGCAACCAGGAACACCGTGTCTGTCCTGGGGACACGGACGCAGAGGGTGAACACCCCATTGGGCTGCCCGAGCCACCCCCCCCATGCCCACTCAGCCTCTCACCAGGTCTGGAAGTCCCCACTGCGCGGCTCCGGCGGGGGGTCGGAGGACAGCAGCCCTTCCCCATGGCTCAGCAGGGAGTAGAGCAAGGAGATCCCGAACTGCAGGGATGCACCAGGGGAAGAGTCACAGGCAGCTGGTGGCAGCAGCCCAGGGACACCCCACAGCTCTGCCCTCCTCGGGGTCACCCACCTGGTTCTTCAAGGCCATAGCGAGGGGGAGCTCGGGGGACTCGGGCAGCAGCCTGGTCATCTCCTGCAGGACCTCGATGACTTTGCTGAAGGTCATCCCACCCACCACCTCATTCAATGGGCTGTAGAGCAGGGGGAGAGACTGGGCAGGGCAGAGGGGAGAGCAGGGATCTGAAACTGTTTGACCCATCGTGGTCACAGCCCCATCCCAACACCCGGTCAAGGTGATGGTCAACACTGCACCTCCCTGGGGGGCAGGAACAGCACCAGGATTGCTTTAACCCTTCCTGGAGACCTTTCTTCTCTTCCTCAGGGAAGGAAAGACACTCCTACCTCATGTCAACCCAACCAGCTGCCTCTGGTCCCAGTCAAGCTGGTCCCCTCCCCTCGCCCAGGGTGCCCTGCTCCTCCCCCGAAAAGCAACAGGGGGAGGAGGCAGCCTGGAGACCCCCTGCCCCAGCTGGAGGTGCTCACCTCATCCAGCGTGTCCTTCTTCATGAGGAAGGGCAGGTGGTGGGTGATGGTCAGCAGAATTTGCTCTGCTTGCTCCCGGGTCAGGTGGGGCAGCAGCCGGGCCAGCAGCTTCTTGCCCTTCTGGACACTCAGGAGTTGCAGGAATTCATCCTCAGCCTCCCTGGGGATGAAGGCTCCATTAGCACAGATCCCAAGGGACCTGTAGTATCTCTGTCCATCCAGAAGAACCAGGTCCAGCAGAGGACAAGGCTCATGGTTAGGGTCAGCACACAGGACAGCATCCAACCCTCATCATCACCTAGAACTACGCATTCATGACCATCTGAGCCCCACGAGGAGCAAGATGTGCTACCCACTCCCCACAGCACAAACTCACTCCTCTCTGCTGCAAGCCCTGATTTTCAAGGCTTGGTAGATACCATCCACTTCTTGGCTCTTCTGCTCCTGGCAGCTGGGCTGCTGCTCCTCCGAGGCCAGAGGCATCTTCCGCTGCATGTCCTCCACCTCCAGCAGCTGCAGGAACAGCTGGAGACACCACATGGGATAAGGAGGCAGCTTGGAGCATCTTCTACCAACTGGTTACCCAGGACCCCAGGCAGAGAGTTCCTCAGGTGAGAGCCAAGCACCTGTCCCACCTCATGGCTCACTCACCTTCTCAATCTTGTGCAGCGCTCGAAGCCGGTGGCTCCCTGTGGCCTTCAGGAGGGGACAGGAAGGCACAACAGTTACAGCTGGCACCAGGCACCACTGCCAGCAAAGCACTGGGCCTGCTGCTCCCTGGGGATCAGGGGTGGCTTCGGGATAGTCCCACGGCCAGCTCTGGAGCCCTGGCCACCCCTCAAGCAGGGGTGGCTGAGGTGGCACCTGCTCCAGCCGCGCACCCCATCCTGCAGCTCAGCGCTTGGTCTCAGCAGCTCCTCAAGCTCCTGCTAAAGCTGCTCCAGGGCCTGGGGAGAACTAGGAGGGGTGTCCCTGGAGCACCGACCCGCGCCCCCCGGGGGGGGGGGGGGGCCCCCTGGTGAGACCCTGCCCCACAGCCCCTCGCCCCAGCTGCCCCATTCTCAGCCCCAGCCCCTCACCAGAGTCGTACGTCTCCACTTTCTGGATGAACGGTGTGACCAGCTTGGGGGGCTCCTGCTTGTTGCGCCCACCCAACAGCTCCTCCTCCGCCTGCTTGTGCTCCAGCCGGTGGTAGTAGGTCTGTTGTGGGAGCCACCGTGAGCACAGACATCTGTTGGCTCCCAGAGAGACAGAGCCCCAGCTCCCAGGAGCAGAAAAAGCCACTGGTGCTGCTGGGGGGAGCTTACCTGGTAGTAGTAGTCATCATCCATGTTCTCGCTCTGCAGCTGGATCATCTCCACCTTGATGACCCAGTCCTTCTCCTTGGAGGTCATCAGCCCAGCGTAAGGGTCCACTTTAGGAGGACCCCACGACTTCTTGGGGGAGATGCTGGGGAAGATCACAGCCTGCTACAACAGCCCTGAGCCCCCTCCCCACCCTCCACGGCCCCCCGGGAACCCCCCCTACCTCTGCGCCTGCCCACCCTGCTGCTGCCGCTGGGTCAGGATCCGCTGGTGCTGGGGGTGCAGCTGGGTCATGTGGCTGGGAGCGCTGCAAGGGACACCGAGGTGGGCTGGGGGCTCAGCAGAGCTGTCCCCAGAGGGGTGGGACAGGACAGGGCTCCTCTGGCCCCACCAACCTGAGGCTCAGCTGGCCGCTGGCTGACGGGCTGAAGAAGACAGCGGAGTCCAAGGAGGGAGACACGGGCCCGAAGTGCATGGCGAGAGGCCGCGGGGGGCTGCTGGTGGTGGGTGACACGGGCTGGAAAGGGGCCAGAGATCCATACCCCGTGGTCTGGAGAGGGAGAGAAGCTGTCAAGCAGCTGAGCTTTCTCCTCCAAAGATCCCAGAAGGGTCTGCAAACTCCCTGGCTCCAGCCCTCTCCCAGCACTGAGGGGACATGTGGGACACTGCTGGGAATCCTGCCACCGTGGCTAGACAAGGCAAGGGACCCCAGGTGTCACCAGGGCCTGCACGACCCAGGTCCATCACCAGTGTGAGACCAAACACATCCCACCCAGTACAGGTCCTGCAGGAACACCAGGACAAACATCCACGAAGCTGCCCCGGTGGCCTCATCCCCCCCACGGGCAAGACACCAGAGCTGGGTGCTCAGGACCACACCGAGCTGCAAACTCTGCCCCAGGTGGCAGAGCTTTGGGGAGGCTCCATCCCCAGCCCCTGCCACTCCAGGGCCACCCCAGAGGGGACACGGTGGTGACTCCCAGGCTGGAGCATTACCTGGTTGGAAGCAAAGAGCGGGGAGGGTCCGCGAGGCAGCGCGAAGGGCCGGGGGGAGCGCGGCACCAGCGGCGGCTGCTGCGGGGCAGGAGACGGGAGAGATGCTGGGACAACCCTGCCCTGCAGGCTGCACCTCCACTCGGAGGAAGAAGGGATGCCAGAACCCCCCCCAGGAGTCATTACCTGCCGGAGAAAGCGCTGGGGGAAGGACCTGGGGGACACAAGCCTTGAGTCGGGGCGCTTGAGGCGGGGAGAGCCCCTGTAGCCCCTCTGCATGGGGGAGCTGAGGAAGTCAAGGGCCACATTGGTGGGTGGTGGGGGCCTCTCCAGCACCTGGAGGATGGCTTTATCCTGCAGGGAGGAGGCAGCAGGAGGTGGCAACAGGGCCCACCTGGCATCAATTTAGCTCCCCCAGTATCAAGAAGCCCACCAGCCCCTTTGGTTGTTGCTGAGCTGGACCACCAGCCAGGCTCCCATGCTGGAGGGGGACCCATAGGGACACCAGGCATGGGGGTCCTGGTCCCTTTGAACTCAACAGCTTTGCTTTCAAACCCAGGCTCTACTGAGGGTGGGCACCTCTGCTCACAGCCTCAGCACCCAAGAGACAGGTCCTTGCACCTCCAGACCCCTGAGGAGTCTTTGGACATCCCCAGGTCATCCCAAACTATCTGTGTGACCTTGGGCCCAGGGCACCAGGGACCCCTCGGCCACTCCCTGAGGGCCTGGCCGGGGGTACCCACCTCCAGCACGTGGGGGGGTGGGATGCTGCCAGGGCAGGAACCCCACGCTGACAGGTCCGTCGCCAGCTGCAAGAGGGGAAGATGGTCAGCATGGCAAAGGAGGTCGAGAGGTGCAGGGGACACCACTCAGCCCTGTCACCAGGTGGGGTGGGATGTTTTTACCATGTCCTCTTCACCAAACTCTGCCCAGCAAGCACCAATCCTGCTGTCCAGCACCGCTGAGTCCTGGCTCTGTGGGCAAAGAGGGGGTTACAGGCACATACAGCCCCAGCACAGCAGGTCCCCATCCCTCAGGCAAGGGCCAAACAATCCCCTGGTGCCCTCTGTGGGGCAGGACCCCTGGGTGGGGGTCCCCTCCCTCCCCTCTCAGACATCACCTCCAGTGTGGGTTTGCTCTGCACAGCTCTCATAACTGCTGGGTCTCCCAGGTCATTGGGCTCCTGATCTTCCTCCTGATCCTCAGTTCCCAGCTCCTCCTCCTCCTCTTCCTCCAACTCAGAGCTGATCTGCTCAACCTCCAGCTCCATTCCACCTTCCTCCTGGGGTTCTCCCAGCTCCTTCAGCTGCTCAGCCACTCCAGGCCCCAGTTCCTCCCCAGCCTCAGTCTCTTCAGCCAGCACTTTGATAAGCTCAGGGCTCATCTCCAGAAGCACCAGAGATTTTGCAGCGTCCTCCTCAGTGGAGTCTCGGTCTTGGAGGGGGAAGAAGAGCATATCAGGGTGGGTGAGAGCCTAGGCAGTGTCCACTACTGACCCAGGTGCTCACCAGGTACCTTCCTCACCTCCCCACCCTGTTGGTTGCTGCTCCCAACCCTGGGGCTTCCCCAAGATCTCACCTAACCCAAAAGTCATCTCATTGTACAGGTCAAGCTCTTCATCCTCCTCAGCCATCTCCTCAAGCAGAGGTGCATCTTCCACCAGCAGGTAGTCCTCAAGGATCTGGAGTGAAGAGCAGCAGGGTTCCCACTGAGGGAAACAGGCAGCAGAGACCTCCCCCCCAACCTCCCCCACATCCTGCTGCTCGTGCTGGGTGGCCCCCAGGACCACCAGGCCCCTGGGTGGACCCTTCCCCTATCGTACCGGTGATTCTGGGTAGTGCCCCAGGTACCCAACCTTCCCTCCATCCTGCTGCTGGTGCCAGGCAGCCCCCAGGGCTCCACAGGGAAGAGCAGGAGCCACTGGCAACTGAAGCCTGTGGCCACCTGGGGGTGGTGGTGACCGTGCCAGCACGAGGGACACCATTAGGCTTCAGAGTGAACCGAAGACACGAAGGGCACCCGGGCGAGGAGGCCACCCCCGGGGCAGCTTCCCGGCCGGTACCGACACCTCCGGGGGGAGCCAGCCCCGGGGGAACCGGCACGGCCCGGGGTGCACCAGCGGGAAAGGCAGCGGGGACCGGCCGGGCTCACTCACCA